TATATATATATATATATATATATTTATATATGCGTCACGTATTCAGATCAGTTGGTCGGGCATCTACTTGTAAGTTGTAAGTTCCCTCTGGCTGGGTTTGATTTCCCCCGAGTTTAAGGTGTGTTACTCGAATTATAGGCGCATGAGGGATGGTCGGGACGTGTATCATAGCCGCCTACCATTCATTTTTATTATATAATAATAATAAAATTTAAGGTTAAATTACATAATATTGGTAATTAATTTACGGTGAAAACCATGAGGCATGGATTTCAAAAAAAAAAAAAAGATAAATCTGAAATTGTCTGGAGGCAGACCCACGGTATAGAGCCTCACAGAGAAGAAAGTAAAGAAAGAGAAAGACAACGACAGAAATAATTCACTCGAAAAATGACCCTTACTTATAAACATCAGGGGTATGGAGTTAAAATTACAGGTATGTCCTCTAATTATTAGTTTCTATGAGGGTTAATTTAGTACATTACACGTGTGTCAGATATACTAGTTGATGTATATTCATCCGTGAAGGTTTTTTTTTTCGTGAAGGGTTGTTGATGAAGGTTCATTCGATCAGTACAATATTGTCAGTCGGTGTGTATAGAGTTATTGTTGCTTAACAATCTAACAAGTCAGCTCTAGGCCGATCATCCCGCCTTTTGTTGATCAATCTTCAGTTTAATCATATGGGTTTTTTTATGGTATGAGATTGATAATCGATCAGTGTGTACTTATGTTCGTCATTTTTATGTTGGATCGTTGGATTGCTTCAAGATTCAGACTATTATATTTTTCGTATACATATTCCTTAATTCTTAAAAGTAGTGCTGTGAAAAGAGCAAGAGAATCTTTTTCTTATATAAATATATTAAAGCATGAATCCAATTTATGATGACATAATTTTTTAATAAATGACTTCTATAATTTTCTGTGAGTAGTATGTTATAAATAGATCGCATGAGAGTGAAGGGTTGTGTCTATCCTTCTTCCTTCTAAGTCAATTTTTTGTTGCTTGGGTCTGCTGAGATGTTTAGCAAAGGAGCGTCTCAGGATGAGTCACATGACAGGGACACACTTCTTAGTACCCTTAGAGATCCAAGGCCCGAAAGGGTGAAGTGAAGAGAAAACTGGCAAAGGAAATGACTGCAAGGGAAATGACCGAAAAGAGGGTGGTGAAGAAGATAAGGATTACTGACCAGAAAAATAAGATAGGGTCTTCTGACTCGCTCGCTAGTTCGTAGCAGGAAAAACTTTAAGAGAAAACTAAGGGGTTATTGGTCAATCCTCTAGTGGAGCCCGCAGTCACGGTCGATGATCCCGCCGACACGACCAAGGCACCTGTCCAATCTGTACCTGACCTGCTGAATACCGTTGAGGTCAAAGAGGCAGCTGGTCGCCTAAAGTATCAGAAAATGAGCTTTCCTTTTCAGTCGAATGATAGAGGAAAACTAGTAAAGGTGCAGTTTCTCTCACCACATCTGTGTGGAATCGACTTCTTTGTACAAGATTTCAACTTGTTAATATCTTTTTTTTTCCATTTATGATGCTTTTTGGTGCAATCATAGAGATCCTGATGATCGACTCTCTTTCATCAAATTTTTGTGATGATCCTCCTAAGGATGCTGCAGCCATGGATCAGGTGTCGGTCGGAGGTGATAAGCTTCGTCGTGAGGGACAAGATCTGAACCACCAAGGTAATCTAGACGCGGCCAAGAAAGAGGCTACTAAGGGACCTCATATATCTTTCGATTCTTTTGTGCACCGCCTTGTCAATATGAAGGAGCATTTTGCCCGAGCCATGGTGCATTCTCAAGAAGTTGATGTCCGAGGAGTAGCTGCATGTATAGAGAGAATGGGCCAAATGGAAAGAAAGGTTGTTGCCTTGTGTGGGGAGCTCGCAACCCTTCACGAGGAGATTACTAATGTCTAGGAGGAGATGACGCAGTCAAGTAGGGACCAGACGAGCCGAACATTTTAGGCCTAGGGGTGAGGTTTTGTACGAGAGGATGCTTCACGAAGGATTTGTCTCATGCAAAGTCACAAATGATCGTCTAGTGAAGATTTTCCTCCTCGAGTGGCTTTTTGAAATGTTTTTTTAATCTTCAATGAAGATGAATAAAAATATTTTTTAAATCTTAATTTAGTCTTTAACTCAAGTATCATGTCAAATCTTGTCACATCGCTATGTCCCATGTAGTACCATTTCATATTCCTTCCTCGTATAAATAAGCTCACGTCATTTTTTTTGGCCTATCCCTTCTCCTTTCCTTTTTCCCTTAGACTTGTTTTTTCTTCTCCCTTTAAGATGGTGAGGAAGTTTTTTTGTAAGAGACCTTCATTTTGATTCCCGCCATTGAAACCTTCATTATGTCTATGGAGGAGGTGACAACGATTCAAGAGCTTTATGTTCTAAACTCTTTGATTCGACTCCGACCGACAACAAGCCATGAGCAAGCTATTGTTTGATGTTGATTTAGCCTTCTACAAAGATCAGTTCAAGCAGGGTATTTGCTTAACATTATGTAAAGAGCTCTGATGGATTTTTAATCTATAGAGGGTCATTCCGACATAGGTTCTTCCAAGTTTTGTGGCCGCAATTATGATTTTCTTTCTATTCTGTTAGAGGATGAAGATTTCGTGGACGATCAAGCTATTCAACCATTTCTTATCATTCAAAGTCGGCCAGGATGACTATGTGCAACTTATTGTTGGTTACAAGGTCCAGTAGTTGGGCCTTGAAAATAAGATAAAAGACTGGAAGACCAAGTTTCTCGTTGCTTTTTATATGAACGGTTTTTCGGACTTTCTTCGTTGTTAGAATTGATTAATGTCTCCGACATTACTTTGCATTTTCCTCTCAGTTGTCGCATTGATGACCCCGTTTGCAATTATTTGGGCCTCAACACGGTGGACAAAATCGTTAAAAGAGTTGGTCGTTTCCTGCATCAGTGATGAGTAGAAGGGTAAGAGGAGCTTTCCAAAGAAGACTCCTCTCAACAACTCCAGATCCACTCCCAAAATCTAATGACAGAGAACCTATGAAAGTAGTCCTTAAGCGACTCTTCTTCACTTTGGCGATTCCCAATAGATGGGACAATTTTTTTTATGTTTTGTTGATTTGATATGAAGTGCTCCATGAACAGTCTAACAAGCTCATTAAAGATGCTAGCAGTGTCCCCTGAAATAGAGTAGAACCAAGTACGAACTTGCCCTTTATGAGTGGCCTAGATTACTTGACATTGAAGCACATCAGGGGAATGATGAATGTGCATGATGCTTCGGTAGTAATCAACATGCTCGTAAGGGCTAGTCTCCCCTTCGTAGGTGTCGATATTCGAGAGCTTGAAGCTCACTGGGATAGGATGTTAAAGAACCACCTCCGCTACAAGCAAGGATTCTTAAAAGTTGCGGCATTTGGAGAAATGTTCCCTATTTTTTTAAGGGAACTCTTTCTTGACCACATGTCATAGCTTGTTGCGAATTACATTGTCGAGAACGACAATAAGGTGGGGCAATGTTAGGTGAGTTGAGATGGATGAGTGGAACTGTTGGTATCCAGGAGATCAACATCTCGTCTTGGCAGTTAAAATGTTCTTTCCTAGGGAAGGGGATCGGTGTGCCTATTTTTGAACGGTGCATTTCTTGTAGGCTGTTGAGTTTGTGGTAAATGAAGTTCATCCAATGATGCAGGCAATGACTACTGAGTTGCGCGTAGGAGCTGTAGGATCTTTAGCTGAGACTCCTCCATTTGGTGCATTCGGTCTTCCAGAGAAGTACCCGAGATGTCCTCTTCTACAGAATAACTTCTTTTAGGACGAGAAGATGAAGAGGCATGCTACCCTTTGGCTCCGTGACAGCTCCCTGGAAATACGGATGTTGAAGTGTGATGCTCCATTGTCACGAGTGTTAAGTCTGATGGCCATGTAGTGAGTCTCGCAAGTACTTCAGTGGTGGGATTATCCTTTTGCACAGACGACGCCAAACTGATGTGTGCTAGAACATTCCCACGGCAGTACAGTAGCATATTTTCGTCCCAGCATGATACGAAGAATCAACACACAATTAGAAAAAATAAAGCAACTAATAAAGACAATAGCAGTTCTTACGTGATTGAAAGGGAAAAACCATTAGGTTTGGCCCAACTGAATAGTTCCACTATAAAAAGATGATTACTGTTGTAACTAATTGTCCCACAGGTGGAAAATGATTGCTGGGTCTCACAAGCTATAACATCAATGTACAAATGAGTTTGTTGCTAGGAATGAACAGCAACTGATGGTGATTGGCGAAGATAAGAAGGTGGTGGTTGACGACGGTCGACGGTGGCCAATGCCGATTGGTGGTGGTCCACGGTGGTAGGTGGTGGTCGACGACAGTCGACGATGATCGGTGGTGGTCGATGGTGACATGAGTGGTGCTACACATCTCTTTCTCAAAGCTTCAAGCTCCTTCAAGCCCAAGCTTCTCTTCCCACTCTATGGGTGTGGCGTCATTTATAGATTTCTGGGTGCGATTAATGCATGAATATGTTTTGATCGGACGACTTAGAGGACTTCTCTCGATCATACGGCCTTTGATGAACATTTGAATGTCTTAATAATGTTGAAATCGAGTGATCTTGGGCTCCTTGGGTTCTTATTGTCGAGACACTCAATTTGATTATAGACTTGTCGGAATCAACGCTCGTTTGATGTTCCAAATGAGTCCGAAAAACTTTTAAAAGTGATTTGACGGCTTGATTTGTGCTAAATTAGACTTGAATTGGACAAATTTTGATATAATTGGGTATGTTTTGTCTGAAGTTTGATTATAAATATCTGAGCTCTAAAAGAATTTTTATTGAAGTTTAATTATTTCTTGCTCATAAAAATGCATCGAAATCTATGTCATGTGAATGATGGCAATTACGTATCAGACATTTACATACATACCACCCAATTCCTATGTATTTACATATCCAACATCTAAGCATTGTTTTTTATATTTATACCAACCACATTTCTCATATCACATAAGAAAATATCACTTTTTTTTACTTTTAAGAATTGAAATATAATTTTCAATGAATGGGAAAAATGGTATATATGAAAAAAATGAAGTTGACTTGTTAGATATGTAAATACATAAGAATTGATTGCTATACATGTAAAGCTTCCATTCACACACACATCTATATATATATATATATATAATTATTTCAAGCCAAAACGAGCAGAAGAAGGATGGTCAAAACTTTGTTCGTGTTTGACTCGTTTATATATATAAGGATTTATTTGTGAATTTATTTAAAAATTCTTAAGAATATACTTAAATTATTGCAAACGAGTAAATTGCAAAAACAGTTTCTGACTATTTATATGGGACAATTTTAATGTCAGAGTTTATACAAATGTCAAAATATTTTCTACACTATTTATATTGGGGCTAAAATAGTTATCATCGAGGACTATTAGAGCTCAATTTTAAATATTCAGACACTATTTTGATAATTTTGTAAATTTTGGGACTAAAACTTTACCATTAAAATAGTCGAGGGCATTTTGGAACTTTTATTGCAAATAGTGATTTTGCCAATTGATTATGGTGTAAAATTGTTTATAAAGCTTTCAAAATTTTATTTGAAGCTCTGCATAGGATCAAGGCAATAAACAATGATATTATATTTGAGCTGTGAATTCACAAAATTAGAATTTGAATTAATCTTTGTATCTGATAATTAAGTGATAATAAATTATACGTCATAGAACTTAATCTACGCATGAGTGAGCAATTATTCTTGCCTTTTATAATACATGATAATAACTCATACACCAACAAATTTTCATTATCAGCATGGATTTCGAGGTGTGACACGAATCTCGAGATAATTTTTTGATAAAAAATCTTCGAACTCCAATTAAAATTTATCTAGAACTCTGATCATATGAATAATCAAATTGAGTGGTTTGAATAGGTGAATACAATGACTTCAAAATTGGTCTAATTCAAGTCGAACCAAATTTGGATCAAACCGTTAAGCTATTTTGGTAAGCTTATAGTGCTCTACTTGAATGTCGAATGGATTTCAAATTTGAAAAGCTTAAAGTCAGATCAAGCATTTCAATAAGACAAATCTAGCGAGCCCAAGTTCGCTTAATTTTGACATCGTTAAGACATTCAAATATTTACTAAACACGGGCCGACCAATGGAATTTCTCTGGGCCGTTTGATGGTGTGATTAGGACTTCTTCTTTATTTGTATGGATCTCTCTCCCCATCTCTATAAATAGAAACTTAACCCTTTATGAAGTGCTACCCGAACACACACTTGAACCTTAAGAATGAAAGGGAGAAGGACTTGAAGCAATGTGTCGTTTCTGCACCAAAGATCCAGAGAACGCCTCCTGCTTCTGCAGTTGACGACCAGTGTCGTACACAGCTGGTTGGTCACCATCGATCGCCAATAACTTATTACAACAAAATTCCTTGCAGAATCATGATATGTGCTGTAAAATCTCGACGTACGCTGTAGAGTAACAAGATATCCAGTGAAACAATGCACTCAGAAGGCAATGTAACAACACATCCCAATGATGGTGCAACATGCCACAAAGACGGTGCAATGGTGCACCCTAAAGACAGTGTAACAATGCATCTTGAAGATGGTGCAACAACACACCTTGAAGATGGTGTAACAACGCATCTTGAAAATGTTGTAATGTTACACTCAACATACAATAGAACAACGCAACCCGCGTACAGTGTATCTATATATCCCAAAGATGGTACAACAATATGCCCCAAAATATGGTGTAACTATGCTTTTTATAATAACTACTTACAACCACATACCTGGGATACAATAACTTTCTTTGGACTACTGGCTCTCTCACTATAGCCCGCACATTGGACTACGTGGTCCACAACTCGTAAAGCTTTCAACTCCGACCATTGCGGCCTACGAACATTATCACAGTTCATGCAACTCCCAACTCCATCTCCTATGACCTATGAACATTATAGTAGCCCACCACTATGACCTATGAGATCAACTACAACTTACGTGGTCCACAACTCATACAGCTGCCAACTCCGACCTTCGCGGTTTATGGATGCTATCACATCCCATACAACTTCCAATTACAACCTCTGTGGCCTACGTGTGTCATCACAACTCATGCACCTCTCAATTAAGACTTGTGTGGCCTACAAACGTTATCACAACTCATATATCTCCCAACTTCAGCGTCTATGACTTATAAATATTATTACAGCTCCCTGTTACGACTTATATGACTGAGTATGATATATGACTCATAGCACATGCAACTCATATCTTAGAACTCCATGACCTACGAATATTATTGCAGCTCACCACAACATAAGTTACCAACTATGACGTATATGATCCACAACTAATGCAACTCCCAACTCCAGCTTTTATGGTTTATGATATTTTGTTAGCTCACTACTACGTTCTATGTGACCAACTAAGGCCTACGTGGCTCACCAGTCTTGCAACTTTCAACAACAACCTTTATAGCCAACTGACGCTACTGAAGCAACTATCCATGACACATGCCCAATTATTTATCACGATTTTTATTTACGACCTCTGCCACAAAGTAACACTAGAACCACCATTTATAATGTTCATGACGGATTATTATCTCCATAGCATTCATCCAAGGCTTTTGCGATTCGTTACAGCTTATTGTTGAAATACCGATGACTTCTATTTTTAATTCTATTGTCCCAAAGTCAAGAGATGAGTAGGGTTATGTACTCACCATTATATAATGAATTATTTCAAATGAGCTAGGTCTCGAGGTTTTTTCTCTTTTCAAAGATTTTTTATGGAAAAAGTTGAGGTGTCTTCTTATATTACTCTTTAATTACGAGAGTGTGTGTGTTGGATTTTCATGCAATGCTAAGACATTAAATAATCACTCTACCAATACAAATCTTCCGACTCACATCAACAACTATAGTTAAATGAATAACACTACAACTCAATTTGGTGTAACATATAACAAACAAACAACATTTGAATTAATTGCAGTGGATCGTAAGAATATAATTACATGAGTTTGACAATTTTTATAGTTTTATTGTTTATCGCTATATTTTTATCTGCCTTCAACAATCTTCTTTTTTTAAATATATCATTTTTCATTATTTTGAAAATAATTTTATAAATAAATTACAAAAGAATTATATATGCATGTAAATTACATATATACTACTCAATTCTTATATATTTATACATCTATCATCTATATTTTAATTTTTACATATATTTTATGCTATCTATACATGAAAAGGTTATTTTATGTTTTTTTTTAAAATTAAAATAGTGATATTTTTGTATGATACTAAAAATTTGAGTGGTACATATGTAAAAAAAGCAAAGTTTAGGTGCTAGATATGAAAAAACAGGGGATTTGACCATTTGGGTGGCGTGTATGTAAATGACCTCAACAAAAGATTCTCGTCCAGTAAATCCGTCTTCAACCCTAGCCGAAGATACGGGAGCTTCTGGCGCGTGTTTATATTCGACTGTAGTTTCCATAAAAAAGATTTTTTGGGCGGCAACGAAGAACCTATCCGAAGAAGTAGGCGTCGAAGAAGTGAGCTATATCTTTGTTCCTTCTACTTTGCTTGATTGGTTTTTTTCTCAGCGACGATTCCTGAAACCCTAGATTTCGTTAGTTGCGATTTTTGGGTAATCCTATTACGTTCTGTTGTGGATTAGTTTCGTGGTATATGTTATATCTGTTAGTCGCGCCTTGATTCCGTTTTTTCTGTTCTTGTTCCTATCGAATTACATTCTGGCTTGCTGAAGGAACTAGATTTTTCAGAGCTTTGATGTGATTTATTTGGTTTGCTATTGCTATCGTTTGGATTTACGGTATTTGATGTCGAAACTTATATATTTTGGGCCAAATTAGATGGATCGGTATCAGAGAGTGCAGAAACCGAGGGAGGAGACCGCCATCAATGAAAATGAGATCCGGATAACTGCCCAGGGAAGGATGCGCAGTTACATCACGTATGCGACTAGTCTACTTCTGGTATGCCTGATTATGAAATAAAGATTTTTTGTATTTGCACGGGAATTTTTTATTTTTGTAATGCTAGAGTTTTTTTGCCATGATTTTCATGGAATTTGCAATTGATGTTGGAGATATTTGACATGTACCCAACTTGATGAATGAAAGATTATATTCATATAAGCAGATTTAACTTAAATCTTGTTAGTTAAATCTTCTAGGACAGAAAAATGACTATATTAATTCCAGGATTTGTAAATCCATTTTCTTTTCAATTCCTTCTCGGTTTCCTTAAATCCTATATTTACTAAATCCTGTTTTTTGCAAGATTTAGTAAATTCAGATTTATAGGATTTACTAACGCAGCCCCTTTGAGCAAAGAATATTATTTTGTTGCAAGATTTATTATCTTTACCGCTCCCAAAGTTTATTTTTGAGGTCTATTCACCACTTCTATTGTTGCACAATCAATGACAAATTTTAGCAAGTCCACATTTTTTGAACCAATGAAGTAAAAAATATGAACTAGAGACAGAATAAGACAAAATGCTTCTCTAGCGCATGGAACACAAGGGATTAATTATGTTCCAAACTGCCTTTTTAAGCTTTTCAGATTTAAATTTGACAAGTGCAGTTGGTGGGATTGAGTTTCGTCTCTTCAGCTTTCAGAGTTGTAAGCAGTTTTTTCTTTTTAAATAAAAGGAGGATGGATTGAGGGAGCTGGGAGCTATGAAGTGGAGACTTGGCCAAATCCAACGCTCAACCTTCACATTGCAAAATCCTTTTAAAAATATTCTTCTTCTACTTCAAATAGTACTAACAATCATAAAATAATTACAAAATTATGATTAAACGGAAGAAAGAAAAGGAACGCTTACTATTGTGGTTCATATTTATTGGATTGAATGGTCTTGAACTTTCATTTAGCTAGTATACAATCTAAGAACATGTTGTTATGATTAATTTCACAATGAAATAACTTTGTAACAAAATAAATCTTTTTATAGTAAATATATTGATATGAGGTGATAGAATTTAATTTATATTAAAATATCACTTAATCACTTGAATTCAATGCATGTTTTGAAAAATAAGCAATTTATTATTTCTTTATTTAGTTGAATATAGTTTAAAATTATTAATGCATTATCAAAATATCAGTAAAAATATGGTTTATTTTTTCATTAATATGATTACAATGGCTCTTTATCTGTAACTAATGGTATAATTCAATCAAACATTGAAACTACAATTGAGTTAGGATGTTGAAATTCACTGTAAAACCAAATTAAATTGATTTAGTATTGTGAGTTAAGTAATGAAGATAATAATGAGATTTAACAACCGTTCAATACTCCTGATATAATAATAGTGCCATAATAACCAAGATTTTAAACTCTAATTGTAGCCATCAATTTGGTCCTTGATCGCTTCCGCTTTTTTTTTAACTATTCATGTTAATCATAACAATCTAGCTATTAGAAAAATATTTTGTCTAAAATACTAGGGAAGATTTGTTGTACAAGTTCTTAGGAAGAAGAAAGTATAAGGTATCATCCATCAAGGGTGAACCTATCTATACCATATAGCTTTTTGTGGAATTTTAAATGGCAAACTTTAGTTACTGTTTTTTTCTTCGAAGAAATAAAAAATAATCTCTATTCACTTTCTTTTTATTTGATTTATTGTGAAGACATTAACATCAAAGTTCTCCTCATCTTAAAGATAAGCCCTTAATCCATTGACATTCCAAATAAATTTGCAGAGTTTGTATCCTCATTAATCTTCTTAGAGTTTGTATCCAATCATTTGTTTTTTCTTGAGCTCTAGTATAGTCGAAGCTTCGTTATTTTTTTGCATGTAAATCCATTTGAACTGAAGCCTTGTTGTAACTTTATACCCTTGAAGAGACATGTTTTTGTGAATGTGACCGTCTTGTCCTTGTCATTTTAAAAACATAGCTTCTATAATATATATAGATATTTAATTGGATGCAATCTATAGAAGAACTATTACACTTTTTTGGTTCTAATGGACACTTCATTATGTTCCATAACAGATTTTGAATCATATTCAAAACAGTTCTCCTTACTATCGGCTTTCTTGTTTTGGTTTTTTTTTCCTTATTTTCGTGGACATCTAAAATACAATGCTGTTTTGGAGGACTATGCTCAAAACCTAAAATTGGTGCAACTCTTTTTTAATGACACTTTTTTAAGATGGAGAAAACATTGTTTCATATTTATTACCGAATACAAGACAGTAAGCTCATAAAAACTTTTACCTTTGAAGGTCAGACACTTCAATTAAAATAGTAACTTCTACATAGTGTTTCTTTTTAATATACCCACAGTCGTTGAAGGAGGGCAAACAATTAAAAATTGTTAATATTCATGTTGTTCTTATTTCCTTCATAGTCAATGAATCTGTTAAAATTAAGGAAATAAACTTAAAATCACCTTTTTTTTCAATCACTTCCCTTTGTGAGCACATAATCAACGTTCGTTAGTGGCAAAAGAAAATGTGATTTTGAAAAGAATTTGGTTGTAAACATGAACTAATAAAAAATTGCAAGCAAATGCAACAGGTAGGACAATCCAGCAATTCACATAATTAATGGAGGCTGTTCATGATTAAACCTATGAAGTTTTGGTGCTCCAAATGCTAGAGTTATGGGAGATATCATGTTAGTCTGGATGCAAATCTCGATAGAAGAATTTTAATGATGAAGAGATTCCAAATTTTTTAAAATTAGAAAATGTTGAAGACTTGAGTGGTAGTTTCACATCACACTAGCAGTTGATGCAATTTCATATAAATTTGTGTTGGAATTAGTGGTACACTAATAAATAATTTTGCGTAATATCAGGGTTTAGAATTACTACTGTCAAATCTGCATCTTCTCTGTTGATTTTAATGATGCGTTTTAAATATATTCAACATGACATTGTCACACATGTCCTGCTATTTTTTTTTTCTATATCATAATAACCTGATCTAGCACTTTTATGAATTTACTATTGTACGTGTATATCAATAACATAAATCTAAAATTCAAATAATAAAATCAAATTGTTCCATTGCTGTTTGATGTGGAATGGAGTACAGAATGGGTAGTACCAATGGTAAAATTGACTTTATATTGTACGAAGATACTAGCATAAACTTGGGTGGCAATAAACAAGAATCAGCAAATTATATGACTTGATAAAGCTCGTTTAAAATAATTTTGATGGTCTATTAATAAGGATTCTGATGTAATGGTCTTATTTACACTTTAGTGAATTTTATTTGCACATATTTGAAGTTAAATTTGCTTTAATATTTTTTCTTTCTAAATTGGATGCATAAGAGGCATACTTTTCTCCAATTTTTGTTCCAAAAGATTGCATTCTTTATGCTACTTGCTAATGATGCTTGCATCATGAATAATGCAATTTTTTTAGTACATTTGATTTTTACTTACATGGGAATATTTTGTTATTTTTTTATTTTTTTTAACGAGTAAATCAATGTAAATAATCACCTTAAGCTGTTTGCTTTAGGAAAAAGATTCGAATGAAATTGTCTTCAAGGCCATGGGAAGAGCTATTAACAAAACTGTCATGATTGTGGAGCTAATAAAGGTACTTTAGCTTGGTCTGTGCGTTTTTTTTTTGTCATTTTTTATGTTAATTCTATTTGGGAGTTAAGGTTAAGGTGTTGTTTTGTTGCTTTTTGTTGCATATTTGCAGAGAAGGGTTGTGGGTCTTCATCAGAATACTGAAATTGGTTCTACAGATATCACTGACACCTGGGAACCTTTAGAAGAAGGCCTACTTCCGTAAGATCATAACTAATATCCAAGATTAAAATGATAATGATAGGTTAATGTATTGGAAACTTTTAGTAAATAAAACCATAATGTATTGGAAACTTTTTGTAAATAAAACTATTATGGCTTAATCTGCAAATATTGTTACTTAATGTTTATACTTCTTTTTTCTAGGCTTGAAACTACAAGGCACGTGTCTATGATCACAATTACCTTATCGAAGGAGGAGCTGGATACATCCTCTCGTGGGTTAGTAAGAATCATGGCATGGTTGCCATTTTTGTTTTTGCAGTTTATTCAAATGATATTATTTATTGTCATTTAAACATTTTCAATTTGTAATGTGATAGTTATAGCTTAAATCAGCTGCAATCATGTCAAGCCGTAAAAGTATCAATAATATCTTGTATATCCGTTCCTATTTTCTTTCCATTATTTGTGCTGATATTTTCAATTTGTTTCCTTTTACTTTTAATGTTTTTTTTTTCTTTTTATTTTTTTTAATATTTGTCATATCTATCACTTTTTTCTCCAATCATCTTGATGCATTCCCATGAAATTGTGAAGTATTGATTCATCTTGATTGTTCAAATAGTAACGCTGAGATTTATGCTTCTGAGATCTCTGTGTAATATGGTTAGGGTAATTACACAACTAAAATTTGATAAGCTTATTTAGATCATACCCATCACCCATTTGAAGCCATTTAATGGCTAGATTTCAATCTCAGTCAGCACATTTCTTAATGCTATGGACTCCATTAATCCACCCGTCAGGCCTAGAGACAAAATAATGCCATTTATTGCAAAGCAAGATAACTCTCTTTCTTAGCCCTTCAGTCTACTAGAGAACCAAAAAACACCATTCAATTGGGTATTTTGTTCAAATATGAATCACTAAAAATGAAATATCTCATTTAACCATTATTGCTAAAGCGCGAAGTACTAAACTACCATTACTTTCTACTTTATAAATCCCCAATCTTCTGCTGGAAAAGGCGAAGTAATTTAAAATTCTTGAAAACTATTATTAATTTTCTAGAATTCGTTGGGAGAGAATAGGTTTTGCCTTTCTTTCATAAGCTTTAAATCCCCATTACAAACTTGAGCATTTTCTTGGAAGCTTTAAATAAAGATATCTATTGGGTTTTAACCCTTTACAACTTATTGCAATTTACTATCGGTAATTGATTTCTTGATTGAACTCTGTAATTACTCAAAGTCAAGGAACTCCGATCTTTTTGGCATTTGCTAGGGCTTGGGAGAATTGCTTAAGGATCGCTTTTATCAATTTGCAGATAAGGTTAGATAATTTGCAGTTGTCGATCTATTTTTAGATGAGGCCAAACAAATCTCAAGTTTCAATGCAAGGCTCTTTTGCAATGATTTTAAAGCTTGGCCGGTAGATTGAGATGTGTTGCCTACGATCTATGCTTTGATTGTATTAGATGAAGCAATCTAGATTTATTGTTTGTGTCTCTCCCACAGTGCTACCAAACATAGAAGAGGGAGATTTGTATAAGAACCTAGCTAGTAGTGTTTAAAGACAATTTTATATTAAAACTAACTAGCTTTGTTTATGAGAGTTGCACAATAGTCTAATTACAGATCATTAAATACAGTGAGAGCTAGTATCCTCATGGAAATTTATGACCGAGAAGCTCCAGGCCAACCATTAAAGTTTACTAATGGCGAAGATCAAACCCTCTTATCTTATCACTTGCATTGCACTCAAGGACATTTAAACTAAAAGTTGTTCTTTTTTAAAAGAAAAAAAGTTTGAAGGCTTATTTCGTCAAGGGTACATAGGCTATTATTTGTAGAATCAGGCTATAAACCCCCAATTTCAACGGCCTAGAATACTTGGATCAATTTTAGAGGAGAGAAATGTTTGGCATTGTTAAAGATATCATTGGGAGATTGTCATTGTCTTCTCCATCATCTGCTTTGGAGACATGAATAAGCGATCAAATCTAATTTAATAATTCCATTTTTTCTGATTTGTTCCTGGACTCCCTCATTATTCTTGCTAGAGTGGGAGACTTTTCCACAACTAGAAGAAATATAATTGATGTTGGCAGTTTTGCTGACATAGTTTTCTGTCTACCTGTTTAAATTTGGACTTCATAGAAGAAGAGCTTCTACTATACCCTCTCCAAGCTTATGTCTTTTGATATAAATCCATTGAAGCTCAAGGATTGATCACATGTAAAAGCTGACACGGCTAGCCACCTTCTCAATCAACGCATTTCGTCCAGTTAACAGTGGTGGATATTAATATGGCATATGATATCATTTTTCAAAACACTACTTTTATCTAATTTTATGGTGGTGGTATCTATTAGGGCTGTAAACGAGCCGAGCTTGAGCGAGCTCAGGCTTGGCTCGTGTTCGGCTCGTTCGAAATAGCTCGGGTTCGAAATCGGCTCGTGTTCGAAATCGGCTCGTGAACAGTGTGTTCGTGTTCGGCTTGATTTAAATATTCGTGTTCGTGTTCGGCTCGTGTTCGACTCGAAATTGGCTCGTTAAACTAAAATTGAGGAAAATAGATGTAATGTGTGGGATTCGAACCTGGATCAAATCTATACAAAAGAAGACATTAACCACATTGCTACATGAGGCGTTATGATTTAAATTTAGACATAAATATATATAATATATTATTATATAAATAAAATATGTAATATATTGTTATATAAAAAAATTATATAATTTTTTTTTATCGAGCCATTTCGAGCCTCAAAAATTCTTCGCGTTTGGCTTAACGAACGAGCCGAACACGAGCTGCTAAACGAGCCGAACACGAGCTGTTCACGAACAACGAGCCAAATTGACAGCCCTAGTATCTATTTTGCACATGAAGATAAAATTCCCAACTTTAGTCAGTGTAAGGGAAGTCAAGAGTAATCAGATATTGGCTCTTTCTTGTTATCATTATGAAAAAAGTGCACTATTTTTCCAACAAACTTTATTCAAGTGCCTCATGTTAATTATTCCTTTAAAGCACTTTTGTAAAATGTGGAAAAAGCTTGGAAATTAGTCCAAATAAATTATCCAAATTATAAGCTCTTTCACCTAATGGATCCTCATCTTCTTGAAGATTTAATATCAGAAACTACCGACAAAATCTAGTTACCTTGAAAAAAAGCAATGCATCGAAAGGTTTATAACTCTTAACCATTCATGTACTTTTATAGATTATCCAAACTTTGGCTCTTAGCTTGACCACATCCATTGAGGTGAGCATGAATAGCTTATCTTAATATTATGACTTCTATAGGCATAAGCAACAAACACGATGTTGATTATACTTGTCTATTTAACACCTTTTTTTATTAAATTATTTGCAGGATATGTGGCTGATAATGATTTTTTGCCAACGAAGATTGGCAAAGAATTATCGTTTGTGTTTGAATAGTATTTTTAGTTAAAGAGAATTACTTTTCCACATATTCTCTTAAGGGATGTGCCTAGTTTTATTTCTAATTCACTTTTTAATGTGACCTATTTCAAATTTCAATAAATATCCTGTCGCAAATATCATTGCTTATTTCCTCTTATGCAAAAGTCCTTGTGGTGGCTCATCAATGAGGCAACCTCAAATGGCATTTTGTATCAGACAACTCCCTCTCTTAAGTCTGGCTCATCAATGCATTATTTTGAACATGGTACACAAGTAGACGAGGCCTTGTTAATGCGCGAGCATTGAATGATTTAGATTTAATTTTGATCCTTGATATAATCCTATTATAATAATACGCTTTGGTTACTCAACATCTATTTGTAGTACTATATAGTGTTTTATCATTCATAACTTTATAACATCAAAATCTCTTTGGCACATACTATTTTGCGTTAATAGATATCAAATTAATTATACTCTTTGGCACATACTATCATTCATAACTTTTTCATATCAAAATGGCATTATAATCATACTCTTTGGCACATACTATCATTCATAACTTTATAATATCAAAATCTCCCAACTTTTTCATTCTTATATGTATCACTGATCAGTTCTTCAAATGCTCCTTGCTCCATGAAAGAGATTATTCTCTTGTTTGGGTAATCTGGTTTATTGTGCTCAATATTGTGGTACTTGAAGCGCTTCCTGGCTGAGACAGATTTGAGTGTGTTGGTTCTCCACCTATTATATCTTTTGGATTAGTTTTTCTTAGGCATTGTTAGCTTAGATGCTCCATTGGGAGTATTTTTGTTGCGTGATAATGAGTTGCATGCTGCCTATGGGTTGTGGCGGTTATTTGGTGATGTTGTTGCTTCTCCACCTTCAAAGCTAAAGTTTGTACATCAAGCAGGGAACAATACGGTTGCAGTTGCATCACATTATTAATAGTTAATTTCAATCATCTAATATATCTGTCAATGTGTGCTCCTTCGTTTTCAACAACTCATATTTCAGCATGAGTTGATCGAATTTAGTTGTTTACTCCTCCATAGGAGAATCTCTTTAATGCATGCGTGGAATTTTATGAATATATTCTGTCAGTTATGCGGGAGAAGCTATTTGTGTTGTATTTCCTTTTTTATTTTAGACTAGGAAGTGATTTTATTTTTTCCCTTATGCTGGCGAAGACCTTTAGAGTCTCTCACCTCAAAAGAGCATTCATCCCGAGCTTTGTGGTTATTAATTTAACTCTTTTGTCTTGTGTAATGTTTTTGTACTGAAAAATTCATTCCACTATTTGGAATACTTGATAAACTCATCTAGATCTATGCGGTCGTTAAAATTCGATAAATCAACCTTTACTACAAGGTTCTAACTTCTTTGATATTTTTTGCCAAATTGCCACACTAATGTTTCTTTTTCACCAGAAACTTCACGATGGAAGGGATTTGCTTTCTGCTCTCAATCTAGCAAGTCACTGTTGTGGCTATGGGTGTCCTCATCGGATTATCTCCTCTATTGTAATTGAAGGATTTCTCACTGCATATCCTCCATAGTGATCTCCTGAACACTTCATTGAGGGTTTCTTCGTTGCGACATGACATCTCATTCTTCTAATAGAAGTTTCAGTGGAAAAGAAAAGAGGTTGTTTCTAGGTTAGGGTTAGGGTTAGGCGGGTGATATAGAAAAAGAAAATTGTTGATTAAAAGTTGGTCGATTGCTTGCAGTTTTGATGGTAATTATCAGGGTGAATTTTTGTTGGAGGTAGGAAAATTGGATTTTGAAAGTTTTAGGTTTATGACTAGAAATTATGGTATTGAGTTGATCGATGATTTAGTTTATGCGGTTTTTTGGGTAAGTGTAGGAACGACATATCCCAAGAAAAAATTTAGGATTTGTCTGGCTTTGATAGCAGATGATAACGTTATATGGGAGAATACAAAAAGGTCATCCGACGTTTTAGGATGGGTAACATTAGTGGGAGAATGAATGGAATCTGAAATATGGCGTGAACTGCAGTTGGGTAGTGTGTTAGAAGTGAGAAAAAAAATGCAATTTTCTGCAAAAACTGCCTTCTAGTTTCAAACAACAGTAGCAACAAGTTTTACAACTAAGGAGGTCTTTGAACGTCAAGGAGAGATCACCACCTCAACCCTATCAGGTTACAGATACACCACCTGAAAGAAATCCAAGGATACAAATCTCCAATAGATAAAACCAAGAAAAAATATTTCCAAATAACATAAACAAAGCCAAAGGTCCCCCCAATATAGAAGACAAAACACATAAGTAGTTTCACAATAGAAAATACCTAATTAGAAATAAGAAAGTGGGAAACAAATAATATATATATATGCTTAAAATTGGAACTCAACGCTCCCTTTCCGTTTTCCAAACCTGCAATTGCGAGAGCCTGGATTCTGCAGTATTGTGGACTTATCGCAATCAGGATCGTGATATTGCTGATCCTGGGATTGTAGCAGGATTCTCCGTGGCACCTAAGTTGGCCATATTCTCTAGATCTCTTGTTTTCTGTCTTAACTATTATATCTTTTTTCTTTACTTAGTGCCAAACATAGAACTCTCGAAGGTTTAGCTTTTGCTTTCAGCACTACATTTCTTAAAATTTAGCTTTTTTATAATCATTATATACCTCAGTTGTTTTCAATTTCTGTCACGCTTTAAAAGCAATTTTTTTCTCTTTAATAATAGTTTAGTTTGCACCTCCTTGCTTCACAACTAAGTCTACTTATCATTGCATGATCTATTTTTTAGACAATCCTGAAACTTTAGCAACAATCTTGTTAATGGAATTTACCATCTAATCTCTCATCGTTTTTATCTTAATGAATGAATTCCAATTTTTACTCCTTTATTTACTTGCACTGAAAGGTTAACAATTTTTCGCGTTTCTAGTTTCACCCTTATCCTATGGAAAAATTATTTTTAATTTTTTTCTGTATGCTCATGTATATCAATAGCTACTATTCCATGTTATGGGTTAAACTCTCTCGAGTAGTCTTATAAAAACAAATAATAAAATGATTAATAAGAACAAATTATGATGAATGACTAAATATTGACAACACAGCTAAGATATGTTTGGAGCCCTATGGTGCATGACCTTAAATTCAAGTTTGATATATACATGAATTTATGTAACTTCTCATCATGTAATGATGTAGGAGCAAAGTTCCTGCCGTCTTCTGTATTTTCCAAAAGCTGAATTACATCATAATATTAAAATATGTTCTCTCTGCGATTGGGTATTCTGATGTTCTATTGCTTGTTCTGAACAGCTACCAGTTGCCTTTACCAAAGGATCAGGTGAAACCATTGGCCGAATTTGAGGATGATGGAGGTGCAAATTGCATTTCTGCATATTTAAACTTTGTTCATATTTCCATGGAGATCTCATTTTAATGATCTCATATTTCCTTTTAGAGGATTTTTCTGGTGGTCAAGGCAGAGCCCGTGGTGGTCACGGTCAGGGAAGAGGCAGAGGTATGTGGGCATTCCGTTTTGTTATCCCAACTGTTATGGTTTTCTTGTACGGTTCCTTACATTGTAATGTAAACAGGCAATGGATTCATGGCTATGGATTACAATGGTGAAGGATGGGACAATCGTGGGTATGGAAGGGGTGGTTGGAATCGTGGCCGTGGCTTTCGAGGCCGTGGCATTCGAGGCCGTGGCCGAGGAGGTTATGGAGATCTAACTTATTACCAACAAGAGAATGGTGGCTATAATGAAGAATATTCTGTTCCTACTCAGGGACGAGGTATCTGGCAGTTCTATTTCCTTCCATGATGGTTTTGCTCTATTTCTGCTGAATGAGTTCCATTCGTGGAAATAATTTAGTCCCAGTCATGTTGGATATCCTCTGATTGAAGTTTTTGGTTTTGCATTAGTTCATTTTCTCTATTAGCGAGGATTATGAGGAGAATTTTGAGAGAATGAATCCTTTGAAAGGATTTTGGAAGCCGTGTCTTTAAGACCCACCCATAAATCCTTAATAAAAAATGGACATTTTAAAAATACTATATTTAATGTCAAAGATAATCCATTTAATCATCATCATTAGCCTTACCCTAATAATTTGGTATTGGATTTATAATTTCCGTTTCTTATTTTGTTCTATTGTTTGCTAGAGAAAGAGTTTAACGCTTATTCTAATCAAATCTATTTTAACTTCTATCCAAGTGATTGTATTTGTACCTCTTTCTTCTATTGGATGCATTTTCTGCTTATTGTCTTTGACTATATTACATAAGTCTATTTCTGCTAGATCGTCTTCATTACATGTGACGCCCATAATCTCATTTCTCCTTTTTAGTTTCGACACATGCATTTTAATGTTCTCATTTCTTGTCATGATCAACTTAGCTTTCAAATACTTTTTATTGTCGCGCATAAGCTATTGCAGGTAAGCTGGCCGTCTGTTTATTTTTTGCAGTTGGAAAACAACTGTGTTGTAGCTTTTTTTGGACAAATGACTATTTTGCCCATGTATTGCAATGTTGTTTACAACAAAAATGTTCATACTAGCTTATCCCATACTTGAAAGTAAATATTCAGTTCGAACATTACAAAAAAAATAGACAACTCACTAAATAGTGAGTAGCACAACTATCAAAATTTAAAAAAAGATGACCGCTAAAATAACAATCAATAATATGATAATATTATTTTTAAAATGCAGCTGATATAGGTCATGAGACAAGCCATCCTCGAGGGAAGCTCGCCACGCGCGATCAATTTCAGCTGTCAATTTCTCCAACCCATATGCCCACCTAAAAAAGTCATAGTTTTTTTTGTTTTCTCCTTGAACACCTGTAAAACTCTCCCATAGCTATGTGGTTGTCGCGACGTAATTAGGGAGCATGGTAGTCTGTAGTAGCAGTGCAATCCTCTGGAGGTACCAGAAGTCCTCAAACTCATCTTTTTTGAAGGTTTAACGCAACAAAACATAAATTCTTAGATGCAATATTAGTGAATGAAATTTATAATTAAACAATAAAAGTTTTATTAAACTCAGAGATCTCAGAGAACATAACATAAACCAACGAATTTGTCACTTCCAAAAGGCAATAAACCTTAAAAAAAATTTATTTTTGGTTGCTTTCAAAACACGTAATGCCGAGCTCGTATGTGTCACATATGCATATCGCTAAAAAAAAACCATCCAGAAGTGCCTAGAAAAACCACAACAATGAAAAACTGAAAGGAACTTGGTTGCTTTCATTGGGATTTCACATGTGACAAGTACCAATAGCGGTTAATATACCATCTAAAAGAATAACATAAATGCGGAATAATCTGGGATGGGATCGCTCGCGTCACACGAAACAAATGACCCTAAATCATGGCCCGCAGTTCCACAACTGTGCTAAACGGGCCGAAATATGGCTATCTTTATTACTTTTTATTTATCATTACTTCTCCGTGACATCATCTTATTGTAGAATATTTCACCAAACAAATGAGCTAAATCACGGCCCGATGCAGTTCCACAGCTGCGCCAGACTGGCCCGAAATATGGCTAACTTTATTACTTTTTATTTATCTTTACATCTCTGTAATATCTTATCATTGTAGAATATTTCTATGCTATTTTTACCTTACAACTTTAGTAATGATATACTTCTCTATATCCTCATTTTATAGTGTTGTTGATTTTCAGAGTGGCTAAAAAACTGCAGCCTTTATTCTGTCTACAATAATCAACAATTTTTTTAAAAAAAAAGAAGTTTAAGGGCGGTTCATTTCTAAGAGATTGGCGGAACTTGAATACAACATGTCTCCGAGGAAGTAAGACTAGCATTGCCAAAAACCTCAAGATGGAACTCATGCAAATCGGTTGAAAACATAACAAGTGCGTGCATTGCTGAGTTGATGGTGTCTTGGGATAGCGTAAATGGTAGTATTTTTGGGATAGTATGAATGCATTGATTTTTGTGGCATAAAGTATTATCTTCAAATGACGGGTGGTGCACAGAGCCATCATAGGTGACACATGATGCAATTATCATGGTGGTATGATTATGTAGAAATTCATGCTAAATGAAGAGACTTTTCATATGAGTTATTATCCTTATGTGAAATATTTTTTGTAATAATTAACTAAGAATGATGAATATCACACTCTTTTGTGATCTAACTATGATTCAATGTCGCCAGAACTCAAGTTGATTTAGGTAGCTAGATGCAAGAAGTTTTTAGTTAATGATCTTGATATTTGACGTGGAAGCTAATTTTATCAGCTTATCAACATTTGCCCGGGTGTAGTGTTAAATAAGCAAGGGTTCTCACATTACAGGCGAATGCGGGTAAAGAAGTTAGTCCATAAAACACGTGAAACACATGAAACTAAGATTAGGATAGGATCTTGGAGTATAAGTACTCTCAATGGTAAATTAATGAAATTAGTTGATATTATGATTTATAGAAAAATTAATATCTTATGTATCTTATGTATTCAATAAATGGGTTGGAGAAAAAGCTAAGGAGATTGATAATTTAGGTTTTAAACTTTGGTATTCTGGTAAGAGTCACACTAGAAATGGTGTAAGAGTAATTATAGATAAGAGTTTGAAAGATAATGTTGTAAAAATTAATAGAGTTGTAAATAGAATTATAACCCTTAAGATTATCATTGATACTAAGATTTTTAATATTATAAGTGTTTATGATCCTCAAGAAGGTTAAGATACATGGTATATAGATAAATTTTGCAATGTCTTAAAAGACTTAATACATATGATATCTCTTGAAGAAAGAATTTTTATTTGAGGAGATTTAAATGGACATGTCGGTTGAGTGATAGATGACTTCAGAAATACTCATGGTGGCTACGCTTTTCTTTTGGAGTAACTAATGAAGGATTAATGAAGAAAGTAGAGCTATTATAAATTTTGCATTTGTGTATGATTTTGTTATTACTAATACTTTATTCAAGAAAAGAGATGAACATCTTATTACTTATAAAAGTGGATCTAATAAAACACAAATTGATTATTTTTTTATGAGAAGAAGAAATCGTCGCAATTGTAAAGATTGTAAGGTCATTCCAAGTGAGAATTTATGTACCCAACATTGTTTATTAGTTCTAGATTTTAAGATTAAGAGTTGTAGAATAAAGAATACTAGGACTCATCATCGTAGAATTAAATGGAGGACACAAATAAAATTATTTTTATGAGTAAAATTCAAGATTTCAAAATTTAAGATATTCATGAAAAAACAAATGTTATGTGGGATAAAATAACAAACACTATTAAACAAGTAACAAAAGATGTGCTTGGAGAATCAAAAGAAAAATTTTTTATAAATAAAAAAAGTTGGTGGTGGAATAATAATGTGCAAGAAAAGATAAAATATAAGAAGTTATGTTATAAAAATTGGTTTAAATGTAAAAGCTTAGAGAACTGGAGAAAATATCAAACGGCTCGCAGGGATTCTAAAAGAACAATCTGTGATGCTAAAAATTCTGTTTTTAATGATCTTTATAATAGATTAGATACTAAGGAGGGTGAAAAATATATGTATAAACTAGCCAAACAAAGAGAAAAGAAAAGTAAAGATTTAATTCAAATAAAGTGTATTAAAGACGAAAATTAAAAAGTATTTTTTTTAGAAAACAAATATTCAACATAGATAGGTGAGTTACTTTGATAAATTTTTTAATGAAGTTTCTGAAAATGCGATCGACCTTAGTGATCTTAATATCGTGAATAATAATAAAACGTGTCATTTTTACCGTCGCACTAGTAAAAAAGATTGAGGAGGCTTTAAAGAAAACCAAGGGTGAAAAGTCTGTAGGACCTATTGATATCCCAATTGAAGTGTGGAAATATTTGGGTGATTTGGGAGTTTCTTGGCTTACTAAACTCTTTAATATTATTTTAAAAACTAAAAAGATGCCTGAGTGGAGGAAGAGTATTTTGGTCCCCATTTTTAAGAATAAAGGGATGCA